GAAAGACTGGATGGACTGGCAAATGCGGAGGGATGCCGATCACAAAAGATGGGCCGTCGGGCTTGTTGCCTACGGCTGAAAGGACGGTCCATGGTCCAAACCACTCGGGGAGTAGCTTGTGTGAAACATCCTGTTCGAGAGCAAACTCTTCCGTGGAGACCCAAACCTGATCGCTGGCGCGGATGGGACATGGCACGCGACGCCTGTTGGCTTGCTGCCGCATGCGGACTTGAGCCTTGTGCATGTTTGCACGGGCTTGAGTCAGCAATTCCCTGTACTTCCGGTCGGAGGCGGGAGAGCAAGCGGCGTCTATGTTGGCAGTTCGTGGGAGGAGAAGATCAGCAAAGATACGACCTTTCTGGCCACCGCGGTGCAACTCGAATGGAGCCACGCCGATCGCCGGATGCAACAAAATGTTGTAGGCGAACTCGATGTCGGGGAGGCGGTCAACCCAATCCTTATGATCCGGATGGATGAGCGTATGAAACATCATTTGAGCAGTCTGATGTGCTCTCTCCGTGTGCCCGTCCGTTTGTGGGTGCCGAGCCGAACTTGGTTTCATTTCGGTGCCGGACTCCTTCATGAGAGAAGTCCAAAATGCCGAGATGAACCGAGTGTCACGGTCGCTAACGATATCTTCCGGTACGCCGTGGCTGCAAATCCAGCCGGTGTGCACGAGGCGTGCAAGTTCGGGAGCCGTGGCATAGTACTTGGAAGGGAGAAATCGTGCGTATTTACTCAATTGGTCAATGACCGTGAGGATGCAGTTGTGCCTGAGGCGGTCGTGGGGAAACGGGCCGGTGACGTCCATAGCAATGAGGTGGCGCCTTGTTGCAGGTACATCGCAGACGAAGCTGGAGCTATGGCACCTCTGGTAAGCTCCCAGGTAAGTCTCCCTGGCCTCCGCCACTTCCCTCTCTCCCAACGCTACTCTAAGATCCTAGCAGCGCCCAGCGCTGAAGACTACTCCTATCTCTATCTACTACTACTGCAGCGCTGCTGCCGAATCCTGAAGACTGCCTCCTCAACTGCCTACTGCGTCCTGGGCGGACCAGTACTATATAGTGCTGGCCCGGCTGGGAGGCTGCTCTTGCCAACGCCAAATCCTGCCAGGCGCTGAAGTTGAAAAAAAAGGTTGTCTTGAAACGGGCCTAAAAGTCGCCGGCGCTTATCCCTGGTCTGGCGCCTAAGTTTCAGGAAAGGTCGACTTTATGAGGGCCTAAAATTGACCCTCTTCTTAGGCTTCTAGGCTGAAACGACACAGGGCCCTTTTCCGCCTGGTCGGGCCCTGCAGGCCCGTGTGGTGCGCAGTATACCCCGACGGTCGGCGGCCCTTGACTGGTGGGCTGGTTGGCACCTACCGGTCAGGGGTCGTCGGCACACCGCTAAAAAAAAAACAAAAACTAATAACCCCCCAACACCCCCATACCCGCCCCCAATACCCCCGTAACCCCCCCAAACACCCCGAAACCGCCCCCTCACACCCTCATTACCTCCCCAAATACCCCTTATACCACCCCTATAGCCCCCCGCCCCCCCCACCAACCCCCCCCCATAGCCCTCCATACCTCCCCCCCATCCCCGAAAGTTTCTCAGCGGATTTGGGATGTACTCAGCAAATGCAGTACAGCCCCCAACTCGGATTTGAAAAACAATCACTGGATGGCTGTTTTCTGACTGGTCCGCAGACCGCTGACAAGTCAGCCCTACTGGTCGGCTGCAAAACGGTCGGCGGTCGGGGTTGGCGGTTGGCAGGTATGCAACCCCGGTAAAAATGGTGAAAATGTTCTGTCTGACCCCATTTCTTAACTAATTTGAGCATTTTATGGGCCTCGTTCTACTACTCTCGAAATGTGCAAAACGAGAGTGAATCTTCCGCTAGAACATTGAAAGTTACACCGCCATGATTTTTTCCTTTTTGGCATGTCGAAAGTAGTGGAGCGAGGCCCTATGTCCACAGATAGTGGCCTTTCGCTTTCAGTGATAAGGCCTTCTGACTTATCCAATTTGTAAAACTGTTTGGGTTCCACAAAGATGAAAAAGACGGTAAAAGACAAAATTGTCGATGTGTTTGGTAACTTTGGTCAGATTCCAAAGGGCAGGTTGGATTGTTCAGTCTGGCCTTGCTCTTCTCCCCCCTGTGGGCCCGAACGAGGGCTTATTGACAATTCACTACTGCACAGGGGATATTCTGACGAATCAAAACTCCTCTATGCTTGCTTTTCAAAGCTCCACACGGACTGAGTACTTTGGAGCAGTGTTGCACACCCCGACGATAGGCAGCCCTTGACTGGCCGGCTGCTGACCCGCCGACCGGTCGGCTGGTCGGCACCTACCGGTCAGGGGTC